GACTAGGGGAAGTGCTAACAAAGCAACAACGTTTTCCACCATTATCTCGAACTCACTGGAAGCACCCACAAAAGTATGGGTCCGACAGCACCAATGAGACAAAAGTGGCTCCATAGAATCCACACCATCGTGCCCTAGAAGATGCATAAAACAATCGACCAGTATCTGGCACTATGCAAAATCCTCCAGTACATCGGGTTTTCCATACAATGCCAGGACGTGAAACTGCAAGAACCCTTAACGACTTTAGTCTTCGATTCTGGACATTTGTATGTGACACTCCACTTTTGCTGACCATAAAAACATAGAGCTCATTACCCTTCAAATCATCATACGTTTTGTCCCTACCCAAAGAAACTGGCACAGGAGGCTAGAAACCCTTACCAAGATCAGTTTTCTTTGTTGTTTCATACTCGCTAAGTAGCTCTGCTGTATGTACTTCCCAAACGAAGTCTACAAGCGAGCAAACTTCCCGAATGAATTTCTTCTGCTTTCAAGGAGCCATTTAACTTAAAAAGAAGGCAAACCCTAAAGAAAAGAGAAACTAAGTAGAAGAATACGAAATGAACTGGAAGAATAGAATTGTTTGACTACCCACAACAAGAAAGCTTAGGAGGGAAAACTTCCCCCGCATGTGCTTTTAAACATGATGACACATGTACCAAAGGCTGAGGCTGCGCCGTGCGGTGGTTGAAGTGACCGTCCACGCACTCCTTTGCCCCTAGCCAATCGGGTTAACTATTTAATAATAAAAATTACACTATTACCCTTAAAAAGGGTGGGACTTTATTAAGGGCAACTTACATAATGCTATCACAGCCCTACAAAATCCTTTAGGTGTTATAGTGGCTTTACTGACGACCTGACATGCATGTGGCTCCATACACACCAATCAATCATGATACAAACAGTCCAATACCAGTAGACTTCACAGGGGGGCTGCACACTTCAGTTCCCCCGTCTTGCATGTTTCTTGATAGAACACCTTCTATCAAGACATGGAGGGGGCTTTAAACTTGAATTAACAAGCCACAAACGCAATGTTTCTTGACAAAAGGCCTTCCATCAAGAAACAAGGGGGCTAAAATAGAGGAAACACTAAACTACAACTCATGAAACACCCTTCCAATCCCATTTACACCTTCAAGATTCTAGACGCGACCTAAACAATCCAAAAAATGTTGCGAGCCAATACAACAACACCAACAAAGAGAAACCCAATTTTAATAAATAGCCCCAGCCACACACTTCGTTCCAATAAGGTACAAAATCACCTTATTCTTTTCCTTTTGTGACACCCATCAAGCTGCAATCTGCGATAGAGCAATCAGCTTCCCCGTTTCCAAAACCACCTAATCACGGATATATACTACTAGACGAGCAAACAAAGAATGCTTATTGACAAGAATACACTTATTAATAAGCAAGGGGGCTAATTGTAAGTACATGTAGCTTGTCATCACTAGAGCGACAATGGAACCCTAAATAAGGACTGCATAGGGAAATCCTAGCTAGAGGGAATAGAGCAATCATACTAAGCAAGACAATGAACAATGTTTGAGGTACTAGAGTAACCAAGACACCTCTGTAAAAGCACAATGACACTTTATCAAGGTGATGTAAGACTCACACACCTGTGATGAGCATAAAATGCCATCCAAGACTTGCGATGAGGATAAAGTGTCATTCGGGACCTGCGATGGGCATAACATGACATCGCAGGTCTGTGACAAACACAACACCATCTGCACCTTGCGATGAGCATAAAGTGTCATTCAAAACTTGCAATAAGCCTAAAATAGTGACACGCCTGTGATGAATGGTAGACGAAGCTCAAAACTGGCGATACTTGTGCACGGTCGACTTACACTTCTCACGGTCACACCAAGCTATGACGAGGCGCCTCGATGATTAATGAGACACTCAAACACGTCAGCTGACCAAAGGCAAAGACCTCAACACGTGGCTGGATGTAACCAACACATGCTATGTGAGAATCCTTAGGGAAAGGGAAAGTCTATTTCCTAGAGGATCTTGCTATACATGTGGTGAAACCCTAGTGGAGTTCATTCGGTGGCTGACGTGAGAGCATCGAGATCCCTTCTATAAAGTTCTCTTTTGGCTGACGTGAGAGCATCGAGATCCCTTCTATAAAGTTCTCTTTTGGCTGACGTGAGTTCATTCGGTGGCTGACGTGGAGTTCATTAGGGAAAGGGAAAGTCTATTTCCAAAAGTTCTCTTTTGGACTCTTCTCTTTATAGCATCGAGATCCCTTCTATAAAAAGGGGAAGCGACAAGCTGCGGGACTTACAAGAATTCTGAGCACTCACTAACTGAAGTCTCTTAGCCTATGTCCCTTAAGAAAACTAAGCTTACCTGCGATCCTAACCCAAGACCGATCCCATCTTCATCCTTCAAGGAGACCATTCTCTATCGCCTTCCCACCACACCTACATTAGCATAATACTCCTCTAGGCTTTGATTTCCCTGCTTTAGGTTAAAGTACTCCTAATAAAGTTGGTATACTCTAGTGGTGTTATCTTGGCCATAATAAAGTTTCTTAGCATGGTCCCAAATCTCCTTGGCTGTTTCTAAGAACATAAGATTCACACTAATTTGAGGCGCTATGCTATTCCACAACCAAGTCATAATCTATGCATCCTCCTGTTCCCACTCACTATGCCCCTAAGAGTCAGATGAGGGTTTCTCCTCTTTCACATGTTTCACATTCTTCTTAATTCTTAGAAGCACTTCCACCGACTTAGTTCATGGAACATAATTCTCACCATTTAATTTGATGGAGTTCATTTATACATTTAGGTAATCAAGAGAAATCATAACACCAGGCGGGCGCCTAGGCGATGCTTAGGCGACAAGGCACCCTTTGAGGCTCGCCCCACCTAATTGCCAAACAGTTTTTTACTATGTATTATAAAATACTTTTTTATTCATTATTTTTTGACATTATAATTATAAAATAGGCACTATTAAACACAAATATTCATTTTGTGTTTATATACTAATTTCTTTTTATTATTTTCTTATTTGTTAGGGTCTAATCAATATAAACATTGCTAAATGCTGTATTGAACCCCCCAAAGACTTTAAAACCTGAATATAAACATTACTACTAGTTTTCTTTTCTTTTTTTCCTATAACAAAAATAAGGGTTCAGCCCCTATATTTTTTGAATTTTCTTTTCCTTCTTTTTCTTCTCATATGTTGATTTTCTTTACTTCAACATGAACTTTATACTTTTCTTATGAAAATTATGAATAATTCTTAAGGAAATATGGTTATGGTACCTAGGGAACTACCCTAGGATCTATGTTTTCTACATAAAAAAATCCATCGCCTAGGCGACTAGGTGACAAGGTGCCCCCTTATCGCCTAGCCTCGCCTTGGCGCCATGAAAACTATGCTGCTGTCACACACATTTAGACATAAATAGGAAGGAAAAACAGTCCCTACCACTCAGCATTTGCACATAGTTGAAATCCAGTCCAAAAGAGGGAGAAACACCATGCTATCAGCCAACTATAGAATTCTGTTCACACCTGTCCATGAACCAGCCCTCTTGAGTCATTGAGTAGAGGGCTTCTAGCAAACCACCAAGACCAATGCTACCACAACAACCAGAGGCATAGTTACCTCCTAGAAGGAAAAACAACCAGTCCGTTGTGGCCTCTTATCGATCCTCCAATTGGTTGATGAGATATTTCAAAATCTCAGGTCTGATGTGGCGATCCAAGGAGAAAAGAAAGGAAGGAAGAAAAGTGTTTTCTAGTGCTCTAATACCATGTTTATGATTCAATTAACACTAGTTCTGTCCTAGGTCTGAAGTAAGAAAGAAAGAGAGAAGAAGAAGAGAAATAAGAGAGGAGAGAAAGAAAGGGTTCGGCTAAAGAGAAAAGTTTCACTCTCTTAGCCGACCCACCTTTTTTTTATAGTTTGTGCATTAGACTACAAAATACAACTGTCCCTCATTACGTATGCAACACACAACTTAAACAAAGACAAAATAGACAACTCACCTTTAATTAAACGACAAATGACTAAACTACCCTTATACTGCTGACTCTAACAACATACAATTCCTCATGTAGTCTGTTGAGTGTTGTGGAAAAATAGGAGGATCTTTGAAGGGAAGAGAAGTGAAAATGAAGATGTGGTTCAGTGGGCAGTTGCAGCTCTTCATTATTGGTTGTCATCCAGAGAACCGTTTAATAAAATTCCACATCGTTGGTATTTTGATCACAATATCCTTTTTGGATGTAAGTATGTTTATGTTGATTGAAGGATCTGAGGGGTTTTTTGGTTGTTTGGATAGCCTGATTTTTTGGCTTGATCAGAATGATGTATAGTTACTGGCTGTACATGATGCACATGTTATGCATACTAGAATCTGAGTTTCACAGTGAAGATATAATACATTACAATACTCTACCTCTTTTTTTTTTTAAAAGAAAAGAAAAAGGTTGTGATCTTTATTTACTCTTCAGACTCATGATTCATTGAAATTGATTGATTTATATCACCCTTGCTTGTGGGTGAGTAAGAACATTTCTGTTATCTGAATTCGTAACTGGCATACCTGCATATGTGCACACGGTTCACTTCATGTTGCGCACAAAACAGTGCTGCTTAGCAAGGTTAAGTTTACCTTAGATCCGTTTAATGACTTTGGCATTACCTGTAAAACATAATGATGGATGCTAATCATACTCTTTTGGTGGAATCAGAGATGCACTTTTTGCTATTTCTTTTATAAGTGTACATGACAAAAAAGGATTTTTGTCTTTTTTTACACGAGGGTCGTTTGGTAATTACACTGTGCATGGACACATGTAACTGCAATTGTGTGAAAGTACCTCTAGTTCTACAGTTCTACTTGAGAGTTTTGGATTAGCATATCTCAACATACAATTATCAGCTTTCCGTTGAAAAGTTAAAGAAAGTCGGATGACGACTCTAATTTTGCTTGTATTTCCTTTATACAGGGATCCTTCAACAGCACTGGGCTTGTAGTCTCATCTACATTGCCAAGATTTTCTGACATGTACACATTGACAATAGCCAGCGCAGATCCAAAATCAATTTCTGCAAATAAACCAGTTCATTTTACGAAGAGCGTTACACAATGGTCACTCTCTCTCTCTCTCCACTTTATCATCTCTATTAGTCGTGTATCTCCATCTTTATTTCTGAACTGAAATTTGTGGAGTGAATGTGCACAATGCCGCAGGTTTACCAAAGATGGAATTCTTGTTGAAGGTCTTTTCTGTAAAGATGTTGATGCGCTGATCAACCAATATACTGGAGAGTCTAGGAAGAAGAACAAATGAATTGATGCTGACCTTCTCTCAATAGGGCAAGGAGAGGATATAGAAGCACTGCTATTCAGAGATTCCTAGGTTGTTTTGCTTATGAGAATATGTCGTGTCACTGTTAGGTTTGAATTGATCAACCAAAATTTACCGACTTAAGGAAACGGGTTCCATGATATTGAACTACTCATTTTCACCAGAAAAAAGAAAATTAAATAACCAAGCCTCTCCTTGTCTCATTTAATTGCTCATTTGGGAGGGCTCAAGTTCGGCGGCTTCTGGCGTTCTGAGGTGGTTTCCACATGGACAACCTATGTATATGTTTGGAAGCTGCTTTGAATGGGTTATCAGAAGTGCTTTAGAACACGGGCGGGTTTGGTTGCGATTTTGTTAAAATTTCAATAGGCCCAGTATGTGGTGTAAAATCTGTAAGCTTAGGTAGCGCATTTGCACCCTAGATTTTGATCCATTGTATTGGGTTTAATTCTGGTATATAACTATATACAGCATAAACTACTATTTATTTATTTCTGACAAAGGCACATTCACAACGAAAGGACGGGACCATATGCTGCTAATAATGTAAAATGACGATCAATATATGAAATTATGCCATTCTTTCCACTGTAAGGTTTTTATTAGGGATGAGCAAATGGGTAGGTTTTACTCGGAACTGAATCAAATAGACTTTAAACTAGTTTTATTTGACCTGTTATTGAGTAGGGTTTGGTTCTAAATTCTTGGAATCGATCCCCACCTAGGTTGGTTTTAGAGTTTAGGGGTTTATCCTATTTGAACCGACATGATGAATCGGCCATGGAATTGAACTTGTCTTGAAATAAATCCTAAAGTTTTTTAAAGGATGTAAAGATTTGAATCCAAGCACTCAAGGTTACAAAAGCCATGGTCTCACTTGACCATCGAGTTATTTAAGTGATTTGATCATTTTTTTTTCATTTCAATATTTGTATATAATTAATAATGTCAAAGGCAAGGTTCAAAGTATCAACACAGGCTGATACACTGTAGGGCGTCATCGGCCTGTATTGGTACTTTTTTTTTTAGGTTTTATTTATTTTTTTTTATCGAAACCCGTTCAGAGGGGTCAGTTTAAGGCCTGGCTACCCTTTGAACCAATGTTTGATCTGATACAACCCTTGGAGGGGCGAATCAGGAAGCCATCGACATGATATGTATCGGCTGATACGTATCGATACTTTGAACCTTGTAGTAAAAGGTAATATTTACAAAATTTAAATTATAATGACAAATTTTGAGATATTAATAAATTATTGATATTTTACTTATTAAATTATTAAATTTAATCAATAAAGATAATATAAAATTTAAACTATATATTGACATTATTGAAAATAAAGTTTTTGAAGGATATATTTCATTTTTTTCTTGAAGGGGAGAGTAAAGAAAGAACAGGTTCCACGGGTAGACCTTGGAACCAATCTTCACAGAGTAGCTTCCAGTTCAAAAAACCTGGAACCAACCCTTATAGGTAGGGATGTACAATCAGCTGATTCAATTCGATTTGGTTTAAATCGAAGACCTAACTGACTATTCGGTTTTATCATTTCCTCTAATCGAATTTGGTTTGGTTGGACCCTGGTTCCACATAAATGACAAGCATTTAATAAGTGTTACTAATGAAAAGTTAAAATAACCCCAAAACCCAATGCTTTTAATTAATTAATTATTAATTAAAAGTTAGATGACCCCAAAGCCCAATGGTTTTAATTAATTAGCTATTATTAATTAAAAGCTAAAATAGGCCCAAAGCCCTATGTCAATGGGGAATAGGCGAATTGGCCATTTTCAAAAGTAATTAATAATTAATGACTAATAAACAATTAATAATGAGTCTTAGTTTTAATTAACTATTATTAATTGTTCATTAGAAAATTTAATAATTAATTAGCATAAAGTATTAAATAAAACATTCATGTTTAATATACTTAACTAAATAACAATATTAATTCGGTTTTCGGTTTGGTTTGATTGAAAATTTCAGTCAAATGGAACCGAAACTGAAAACTGATTTTTTTTTAAAAAAATAAAAATTGAACTGAACCGATAGTCGAATTAACCAAACCAAATTAACTTATTCGGTTTGGTTCGATTCGATTTTTGGTTTATCAACCGAGTTTGAAGACCCCTAGGTTCCAGGTTCTGCCATAGGGGGACATTGAATAATAGGTGGGAGGTGTTGGTAAATAAAACCCAAAAATCTAATAAAAGTCCATATGTGGACTGTACTTTAAATTTCCCAATATAGGTTTCTAACCGTTAATTAAGGGTGTGGCCCATTTATCACATGCCCAAATTACACGATGGAATTTCTTGCAAGTAAAAACCCTATACATACTCTGAAAGCCTGAGAATCCAACCTCACATTGGAAACATCTATGAGCATGTATCGGATATAATTCTTAATGTGTGAAATATTTTCAATGTGCAATTGCATGTGTGTAGAATTTTTGTTGCATGAGATTTGGCATATCCCAAATCACCACCCTTTTTCGTATCATTGGAGTTCCCAGTTTGGTTATTGTAGGAAAATACTTAAAACATTTACCAACTTTTATCTCTCCTTCACCTAGGCTCTTAAGGTTGTTCGTGGACCTAAGTTTCAATTTCAATCACTTGGGCCCAGTTTAGGTGGACCTGACTCGAAATTTAAAGTAGATTTGACTACGAGTCACAAGAACCCGATTTGGATATACGTTTTGATTTCTGATACCCCCTTATTGTTTTCTTGTTTTCTTTTTGATGCAATTAGAGTTGTGGTTCCGGCAAGTTTGCGAAGTCTATGCTCTGTTTTCTCACCAAAATTTGAATTGCCTACCTCAGGATTGGAGCAATTAATTTTCATGGCATCACTTGTTTCCGTCCATGGTAAATATGGCAAGAATCTGTTTAAACTGAACAATATGCAATCTACTACTAATGGTGGCTGACTAGAACCATTTGGTGTCCTATCGAAGACCCTCTATCAATTTTATATGCAAATTAATTCAGTGTAAGAGAATCAATTTGGGACCATACTCTGGAATATCCAAAATTATAAATGACTTTATATTTCAACCAACACCAATTCTTCGAGTTGGTGTAGCAAATCTTCATAGGTTGCTCATTTCCTTCTTGCTCTTTGTAGTTCTTTGTTTTTCTTGGAGCTTTCTTCTTCTTATAGAGAGGTTGAAGATGAGGATGTTCATATCCTCACAAGTAAAATTTTCACTTTCTTTTCATCAGGATATGCTTAACAAGATTAGGACTCAGAGAAGCTTATTTGGATTAGTTGCAGTCTTAGCACAATATTAATACTTTCAACAAGTTTGTTATCATCAGAACATATAAGGTCAACATAACTATCTCTACACCTTGTTCACAATTTCCATTGTCTTGATTGCAGGCCTCACCTTTCTAGCTCCTTGTGGTCGTCACTGTGTGCCTACCTTGCCTCATTTACGGGCCTTAGCATACATCCACCTACCCTCGTCCACGAACCTTGTAGTTATTGCTAAAATAGCCTAATTCAAGAAGGGGGGGGGATTGAGTTCTATAGGTTTCTTTCCCAATTAATGCCTTCTTAAAATAAATTCAATGCAAGAATGATTGGTAGCTATGAAGTGCAAAATATACATAGATAATAAGGTTGAGACTAAATGTCAACAAGAACAAATGTAGAATAATAGATTGCCCACACAAATTTTATAGAGGTTCAGCCAAACCTTGCCTATGTCAGTATGTCCTCTCTCCAGACACATCATATGAAAATTTCCACTATATTAGTTGGCTTTCCTTTGTAGCTTTTTTCTTTCTTTGATAGATTTATATTGGTCAATCCACTTCCTCAAAATCTTTTGCATAAACTCATGCATAAATAGCACTAATCAAAGCTAGAGAGCATATGGCCATTATTGAGCTGTTAGGAAAGGATCAATCCACTTTAGGAAACATTCACAGCTTATTCCCAATGATGTTGAAGGCTTACCAAAAGACGAAAAAGCTAGTAAGCTTTTACATGGTCGAAAAATTGATTTTTTTTTTTCATGTAATCAATTAAATCAAGCAGCCTTGTTAGAAGTAGGTAGTTGACTATTTGGACCAAATAGTCGACTTCTACTTGCAAGAGAGAATCTATTTTCTCTAGTAGCCGACTACCAGGTGAAATTTAGTCTTGGATGTTATGCAAATTCATATCGGTACCCCATGGAGTGTGCTCCCATAGGAATGGAAACGGGGCGGGGCAAGGCCATGTTTTGCCTGCCTGTACTCGACTCTGAATTCAAATTCCCCACCCCTTACCCGCCCTGAACCCCAATGCCGACGGGATAAAAATCCTAACCCCTTCTCCATCCCCATGGGGAACGGGAATCATCGACTTTTTCTATTCTTGCCCCGCCCTGATCATTTTTACTTGTATACTTATTAATTTATCTTTTGAATTTATCTAAAACTATTATATATATATATATATATATATATAATATTCGGGGCTGGGGTGTGGTGGACAAATACTGTCCCTGACCCCAAAGTTTCGGGTTTTCCCCGAACCACAATCAATGGTAAAAAAAACCTGCCTTGATTGGGGTAAGGCGGGGCCCCATGGGGATGGGTCAAATTGCCATCTCTAGTGCCCCACAACACATCCTAACCCGTACAAGTATGGTTAGGGTACGGCATTAGGCTAAACCTGACCCACATATTGTTAGAAAGCATATGAATTTTGTGTATTAAGTGTTGAATTTAATAATATTTCAAATTTTATATGAAAAATAATTGATAGCTTATGTATTTTTTGTCTTAATCAAATAATTGGATGTTTTTATGTTTGTTCATGTTATTTTATTTATTTATTGCTTATATATATAACAAGAAGTAATAGGAAATTAGATGTGGGTTCTAAACCCAATGTGCTTGCGCCTTACCCTTGAATGTTGGGAGGGTAAGGTTGGGAGAGGATTAGGAATGGAAATGGGGTGAGGCGGGGATGGGGAGCCTCTCCCCATCCCCGTCCCCTTCCTGTCCCCGCTAACGGGGACAAGGTTATTCCCATCCCTGCGGGGATCTCCATTCCTCGTGATTTTTTATAACGTTAATCATTTTGTTTTTGTTTTTTATTTTATTTAAAAAAATAAAATTAAAATAATTAAAATTTACAATCCTATTAGAAAAAATTCAACCATATTTTTAAAAATATTAATATATATATATATATGTGTACATACATGTATACATATATTAATGTCGGGCCATACATACATATATAACGTGGGGACGGGGATTGGGGACCCCGCGAGGCAGGGAGTTCCCCATCCCCACTAACGGGGATGAAAATTTTCCCCATTGGGGGGAGGGGGAAATCATCCTCATCCCCGCCCCATTCGGGGCGGACCCCCACGGAGATCAGAGAAATGGGGAAAATTGCCATCCCTAGAGAGGATAAATAGAATAAATAGCATGAATCAAAGTTAGAGAGCATATGACCATTATTGAGCTGCCAGGAGAGGATCAATCCACTTTAGGAAACATTCAAAGCTTATTCCCAGCGATGTTGAAGACTTACTGAAAGAGGAAACAATCATTAAGCATTTACATAGTCGAAAAATTGATTTTTTTCATCAAGTAGTCAATTAAATCAAGCAATCGAATGATGTTAAAGGCTTACCAAATTGCTTCATCTTGTTACAAGTAGGTAGTTGATTATTAGGATCAAATAGTTGACTACTACTTGCAAGAGGGAATCTATTTTCTCCAATAGTTGACTACTAGGTGAAATTTAGTCTTGGATGTTACACGAATTCATATCGGCACCCACTCTACGGGTACGATTAAGGTACGGTATTAGGCTAAACCTGTTCTATCATCACCCCAAAATCCATAATTCAAACAAAAAAAACTGCCCCATTGGAATGATTGCCCAGCAGGTAGGGTAGAAATTGCCATCCCTAACAAGAACGATACCATGTTCTCATTTCTAGAATGATGATATGGCATGCCTTGTATCGGGTCATATGATATTTTAAACATTACTTCCAAATCGAGAATGTAAATGAATCGATTTTGCATTGCTTGTACAAATCTATTTTCAACCAATTTGGCCCATGGAACAATCAACTTGGATGATTTATCAATTACACAGGTTTTATGCAAACAAAGCAATTTAAGCTACAAGGGAGTTGATCCTCCAAAACGTTTTGTACAAGGTGACCCTTTGTTTAGCAAAGTTCCAATTCCATTCCTTGAAATGTTTTCACTTCTAACATTTATCATTACAAAAGGCTACAAAATTTAAAAGAGGAGAACACCTATCCTTATAGGAGCTTTTAAGAATCGTAAATCTCCAAACTCTAAACATCATTTGTACTAGCATCCAAACAACCAATGGCCAATAAACCTGCATGAAAGACAAAAGAACAAAAAAAGGAAAGTAAATCATGTCCTTTAGTGAAAATATGTCTAAAAGGAAAGGAAACAATAAAGCTCTTGCAGCAATTAAAGAAAGGAAAAAGCATTTTAAGATTGAGAAATACAAGGCAATTAAAGTTTATAACTAGAGCAGAAAAAGTATACCCAGAAGAAACGCCGGAAATCTAAACAAAGACAACTCCATGCATCCCAGGCAAGACAATATCAAATGTAACTATGCAAATGAAATGCGATATTACTACTGTTATGCTACTTTGGATTAATGTCATAAAAATCAAATCGAATTGTGAATTAGGATTACTTCTATTTTTTAGAAAGTGTCAAATATTAAAAATGAAGTACCAACCACATTTTATATATATACCAGTTTAAACTTCATAAGGTTCTGCCTGTAATATTGGACCAACCACAACACACCACATCAGCTTCATGGACGAGGTTCCAAATGTCAGTTTGACATGGTAATATGATGATTACTGGCTCAATATCCTCCAATTCACATAGAGGGTTCAACTAAACTTCCGAAAAGCAAAAAAAAAAAAAAAAGGTGACTAGAAATCACCCCCTAAGAGAGGAAGAAAAATAAACCTACTGCCAACTGCACTGCTGAACCAAAAACCATACAAGAAAAAAGCAGACCATAAACCAAGCTCTCCAACCAAAGACAGCCCAAACAATCTGTTAAGCATCAGCCCAGGCCTGAAGATGCTTCAAGGCCTAACACCAACACACAGTAGTCCAGGAAGGAGCCCAACAATATGGCTTGTTCCCGTGCACACTTTAAGCATGTATATGTTCAATGTCACATCCATGTAACTAACTCACGTGGATCCTCTTTCTTGTGTTCAGGCTCTATGTAAGCATAATGTAGGGATGCTCAATGTCCACATCCGACCACAAGATCTGCTGCAGTGATGGAGGATTGAGTTGATCAGATCAAGCTAAATCTGCACAAAATGGCAGGAGAGCTTAGAGAGATCAGAGAAACCTTATTGGTGGTGGCTTCTTCTTATGAGAATCTGTCTGCTGGCAGAGCCCAGGACAAAGAATTAGAAGGATCTAGCAAGGAAGTGATCGGCAAGCTTGATCTATACTCCCTGGAAGTCAGTCAAACTATAGTTTCTATCATACTCGGGGGGATCCCCTTCCTTGGATCTTCAAGGCTGAGCAGTAATTTGAGCTCAAAGAAATATCAAGCCACCAGTGAGTTCAGGTTGCATCCGTATATCTAGAAGGGGAAGCAGAGATATGGTACCAGTGATTCTGATGCTCCCACCCTCAAGTTAGCTGGTCCGACTTCACCAAAGCACTTTGTGTGTGATTTTGGAGCATCTGGTTTAAAAGATTACAAAGAAGATTTAGCTAAACTCAGGCAAACAAGGCTAGTCTGTGAATAAAATTGTCTTTCAAATGCCTTTCCACGAGAGCACATGGCTGGCCAAAGGAGGCCCTAATTGGATGTTTCATCGAAGGTCTCAAAGAAGATATCCGCCTGGATGTAAAGGTCCTGCAACCAACTTCTATCACGGCTACAGTTAGGCTAGCCTGTCTTCAAGAGGAGAAATTAAATTGCTTGAGACAGGCTCATTCCATTCTAAAGCCCCCTTGGCCCATTACTTAAGCCCACCCCTGCCAAAAGAACAAGGAGCATATTGGGCCAACCCCCTGGACCACCTAATCAGTCCACCATTCCATTTAAAAGACTCACTTGGGACAAGATGTAGGCCCGAAGGGAAAAGGTCCTTTGTTATAACTATGAGGAGAAATTTGGGCCCAGCCACAGGTGTAAAACCCAGCAGGCCTTGCTACTACAGACCAATGGACCTAAAGGTGAATATGGGCCGGGACCTGAGAGAATTGAACAGGGAAGATTCCACTGAAGGACTAATGTAGACCCACACCCAAAGGCTACCTGAGTTATGGGCCTACTTAAGGACCACATGGTGTTGGTGCTTATTGACAGTGGCTGCACCTTGAACTTTGTGGTCCTTGAGCTTGTCAAATATCTGGAACTGCTTGTGAAAGACACTCAATCCTTCACCAATAATGTAGCTGATGGTAACCGATCTGCACCGGTGCTTGTAAAGACATGGCTCTTCAAATGCAAAAGAATTATTTTGTTATAGACTTGTACCCACTGGAGTTCAGTGGAACAAATGTTGTTTTGGGCAATCGGCGGTTTAGCCAATCAGCCAACTAGGCCCAGTGGTGTGTAATTGCGGCAAACTTCCCATGGATTTTGTCATTGATGTCATCTCAATACATCTGAGTGGCATCACACCAATTGACACAGCATTTTAGCTTGGCCTCAGTCGATAAGCAAGGCTAACTTATGCTGATGCAAATGGGCTCTTCCCATAAAGGCCTAGCGTTGTTTTGTTTTTTTTTTCGATATATTTTGAAGGGCTACACAACGGGGGGGTAGCCCATCCCCCAACCCAGGTGCAGGCAGGATTCGATCCCAAGTCTTTGCTACAACCAGTAGGAGACCTTACCAACAAGCTGGTTGGCACCTTACATACAGACCTAGCATTGTCCACTACTGAACAGCAGGTAATTCGTAGATTGAATAATTTGGGCCAGATACTCCATGAGTACAGTAATATTTTCCAAGAACCCATGGGTTTGCCTCCCAAGAGGGAACACAACCATCACATCCCTTAGTGCCAGGTTCAGCCCCTACTACTGTATGACCAGATAGGTATCCTTTCTATCAAAAGGTGCAAGACCTTCTCGACAAGAGAATGATACAACCAAACCAAAGATTTTTTTCCAATTTCATATATGAAAAATTGTACACATTGAATTTCAAATGAAATAAAAAGCTTAGATTTTTTCAATTTGTTGTCTATCTTGTTAAATTTTTTGTTAAATTTTCATTATTATTTTTTTAAATTTTTCTTTCATTTACTTAACAAAAAAACAAAAAGTGGGCTGACCCAACACAAGCCTACTGGCTCCTCTCCTTGCAAATCGTGCCAGCACAATACAGCCCACTATAGTGTAAACAGCCTGTCAATGTAGGTCATGCTGGCCCGACACGGCCCACATTATAGCTATATCTTTGTGGGGGGCTTGTCTAGCTGCAGCCTAGCCTTTTCTGTTGTACTGTTTGGCTTTCTCTAATAAAATTTCTACTTTACCTTTTGAAAAGAAAAAAGAGAGAGATGTTCTTCTGCTCTTTATCCTATTGCTAAATTTGTGTTCTATGATTCAATGTCTTCTTTTCTTGTGCTCATTTACTTCTTCCTTGTCTCAAATTCAGCTTCCTAAGAACATCCAAGAAACCTTGAGCAAACCAATGTAAAGTGGGTGTTTATTATAAAACATAGACCTAATGGCATGGTTAACAGATACAAATTAGGTTGGTGGCAATGGAATTCACTCAAACTTGTGGAGTTGACTATTAGGAGATGTTTCCTCCAGTGGATAAAACGAATTCCATCATAGTTGGTTCTCTCATTGATTACAAATATGTCAAGGCCCTTACACCCAATGGATGTTAATAAATGCCTTTTGTTACATGGAAAGCTGAAGGAAGAAGATCATATGTCAATGCCACTTGGAATCATGATATTAGATGATCAGAATAAAGCATGCAAACTTAAAAAGGCCATATATTGATTAAAGCAGTCTCCAAGAGCTTGGTTGGAAAAGATTAGTGGTGTCATCAGAAGTGAGCTTTGTAAGAAGCCAAGCTGACCACTTTATGTGAAGAAAACCACCAACTCAACTACTATATTGTTGGTGTATGTTGATGACATTGTGATTACACGAAACTACAATGAAGAAGTTCAGCAAGTGAAGAAGTTCCTAGTCAAGTGGTTTGAAATCAAGGATTTAGGAAACCTCAAGTACTTCCTTGGTATCAAGGTGGAACTCCAAAGCTGAAATTTTTATTTTTTAGAGAATAATGTGCTTGATCTTTTTTTTTTATAATAAAAAATTCATTAAGGATTCATTAAATCAGTAAAGATAATCAACTGTTACAAGCTTCCCTAGTGGAGGCACGAGGTGTAACCTCACTCATAAAGAAAAAACAACACCAGAATTACAATTGAGCCCAATACAACCGATCCCTAGTTACCCTTTGCTTAGCTAATGAATTAGCTAGAGCATTTGCCTCCCTCCCCACCCATTGTATAATCAAACTCATCTGCTGTGTTAACCATCTGAACTTCTTCATTTCGTCTCGATAGCACCATATCACTGGATCCAGGTCTTTTAGCTAGCCAACCACCACCTTGGAGTCCCCTTCAATCACCAGATTTTCCAAGTTCATATCTTTTGCAATCTGAACACCTTCTAAGACTGCAAACAGTTCAGCCCTTGAAGAGTCTTGATTCCCCACCGGTCCTGAAAAAAGTGCTACTAGATCCCTTCCCTATCTCTTATGACTCCAATTCCAGAAAGACTTGGATTGCCTTGACTACTCCCATCAAAATTTAAATTCAAGAAACCTTCATTGGGAGGTGCCCATATCAACCTTGCTTTTAACCTTTTGTACTGAGCTAGAAGCCACTAACAACAAATTCCTCCAAATATCATCAAAGGAGAATTGTCTAAACAAATCCAAAGTTAATAGCCATGTATAATTGTAGTCAATACACAGTCCATAATTTCTTCTTTGCTTCTCTGTTTCTCTTGGAAAATTCTAGCATTTCTTTCCTCCCATAATGTCCAAATCACTATTGCTCTAGTGCATCTCTACATTATTCTTCCCCTTCTCTTTGACCAGACAAAGGTAGATAGATTAAATAACATCTTAATCTCCATTGGCATGTTCCACCTACATCCAAACAAAGAGAAAAACCAGTCCCAAATATCTGTAGCAAAGGAATAGGAGATTAGTAAGTGGTAACAAGATTCACCATCAGATTTACATAGAGTGCACCAATTCGGGGAAATACACAAAAAAAGGCCTCTTCTTTTACAAGTAATCTAGAGTGTTAACTTTCCCATAAGCCA